ACAGCAAGTTTATTTAGCTCTTGGCTGCAGCTTTAAAGCCAGTTAACGGAATGTAAACAAGAACATTTTGTTTGTAATTTGCTAAATGTCTTACAGCCCGACTGTGTCTCCAATTAGGAACTTAAGGTTCATTTAGTCATTTACATCTGGTTCTGATTTAAGGTGACTTTCCATGACTAAAAGGAACTCCAGAACCCTTTATGGCTCTCTGGGCCAACATGTTCTGTGGAAAGCTGACCAGCCTCTTTGTTTTACAGCCTCGGAATTGTCTTATATCGCCATTATATGCTCAGGTCCTATACCACCAGTGACCAGAATCAGAGCGTTTCAAAGTAACAGAGCAAGGAGAAATTTAGACAGAATCTTATAAACAAGATGTCATGGGTTGCTGAAACCCCAAGACCACGATGCAGGAGGATGGTATGGTTAACTTATCTTCCTTGTTCTGCAGGTCGAGTCAGGGGAAGATAAGCAGCCAAAGCTGGCATCACGGCCATCCTCATGTCCCCCCCCCCCCCTCCATCTGGTGTCTTTTAAACAACTCGGTAAGCTTCTGAGATGGGTTCTTCATTGTCTTCTGAGTCATTAGCATTTAAAACCCTCCCTTTGGAATCCCAAGCACACAATTTTTCACTGCATTCCAGATTCTGCATTGTCTTCTCAAGCATTCAAATGGAGCCATCTCTGAGATGGGGTGTGTTTTCAGTGTCTTTGGAGGGAAAGATCCATAAAGGAGATTTTGCGTTTCTTGAGAATTGTTATCACTTCCCTTGGATTTCTCCTCCTTGAAAGAGTATTTGTGGAACCAGCATACACACAGTTTCTCACTCTGCATGGAGTCTAGAAGCTAAAGACCTGCTCTCTGTGCTGGGTTTCCACTTTGCCTGGACGCCACACTGAGCAGGCATGCCATGGAAGCAGAGAGCTCTATTAGGCGTGTTCCTACTGGTAGGCAGAAAACTATTCAACTCTAATCTCACTAATGATGTTTTCCCTTAAATATTGTAATTTTCTGAGTCCCCAATAAGTCATTGGTAACCCTGCCCATTTCTTCCAGCTTGTGTTTCTAGCTGTAGCCGTTCACAGCTGTGGGCTATTTTGACAACAGGATTTCCAACTCACTACAGCACACGAGAGCCCCACCTCCTAGTAAAACTGCCAACACAATGCAAAACCATCCTGTGGGCTTGTCTAAACTAATTGAGGAGTGTTCCTTTAAAAATATGGAACAGTAGGTAGGCTCCCCAGATCTGAATATTAAACAAGAGTTAAGTACAGTTCCTTTAAGTTTGAAGCAGATATTACAGAGTGTTGGCACAATACAGGGAATGAATGGGCGGTAATGCAGCAGATATAACATCCTGGAATAATTTTGACAGTTTTTGGATCTCCAAAGTGTCTTTTAGGCAGGCACATTTGCCTCAAGCGCATCCCCTGCAAGCAGTCGGTGACAGTCAGTCACAGTGCAGCGGAGCCGTGGCTGGACCAGAGGACACCAATGGTCTGAGTGCAGCCATGGGCCTGTGCCCTGTGTGTGAGGGACGCAGAGAGAGTAATGCGCAGCCTGTGTCTTTATTAAGTCAGAGCATCTTTACATGGAAAGAATCAGTACTCCCAGATCCCTGAGGCATCAACAGGGAACAGCAGGCATGGCCACAGACCATCTCGGGGCAACCTAAATTGCTCACAACACCTTGTTTGGGTAACTCTCAAAAAAAGTACTCAAAATTTAAAATACATCTTTCAAGAAACATCAGTAGAAGTATTTTCTTAGACAATCTTGGCATAAACCAGTTTCAGTCAGCAGAGTTTGATTCTGGGATATGAATCGTATCGTCTAACTATTATATGAGTCTGTTCTTTATCTACCAAATGCATTTGCCTTCCAACACCCCTCCATAAACCTTAACTACCTCCACACGCGAGAACTCGGGGAAGACTCATTTTGAGTTACTTATTGAGAAGTAAAATGTAAAAGAGAAGAGAAGATGTCTTGACATTGTAGGTGTTTGATTAAGAAGTCTTGACTATTACATTGTAACTGTAATCATATCTACTCTAAAACCTAGAGTCAGGGATGGGACTAATGTTCCCTTTTAAAATGACAGTGGATAGTAGCATTCCAACCTCTCTCCTCTCACTCTCATATGCATATGTAAAATCTCTCTCATATGCATATATATGTAACTCATATGCATATATATGTAATCACTCCCTCTGCACACACACAATCTTATATAGCTAGGCAAAAAGAATGTTGAAAGATTTTAATATTCTCCTCTTGTTATATTAAAAGTACAAATCATCATTATAATGCAATCAGCGAATGAAACTTGGCTCTTTACCCTTGCTGTCTTTTGGAATTATCTGGTTTTGATTGAATGAAGATTATTATTTTTCTCCACCAGAAAGAAGAGTACAGATAGTTATTTTTATATTGGAAATGCAAAGGGCAGCTCATGGTTATGAAAAGTCTTTATAACTCTCTTGAAAACCCTGGGTTTGAACGTAGGAAAGTCTTCGGCCAACTGGGACCACAGAGACTAGATGTTAGCCTGAGAAAAGGATGTTTTTGAAGGAGCAGAAGGCAAGGCAGAACAAACGGGAACCATGTCTACCTTCTGATGAACAAGAGTTGTGGTGCACAGTCCCTGGGGAGAGGGCACTTTCTGGAGCTTCCTCCAGGAAATTTCATCTTCGAGTGGAAGAGGGCAAAGGGAGATGCTCAGGACATTTCCAAGAGTACATGGAGGATTAGCAGAAGAGCAGAATAGGTAGGCATGGATGTGACATTGTTTGGAGAAAAGGGACAAGGACTGGGCTCTCTCTCATCCATGTGGACTTTGACTGTCATTCAGGAATTCCCTAGTAACTGGAGGGAAGCCATCTTTACAGTTCCACCCCCATTTGGAAACCTCATCTAAGATCAGGGAGTATGGGAGATAACTGATCTGAGTTAGGAACCATCTAGAAACTGACTCTAAAATTCTGAAATAATCATATTAGGATTCAATTAGAAGTAGACACTACAATGTTACCTGCTCAGTACCAGTCAAGTTGCTATCCTAATCAAGTACACTGAGTTCTCAGGGTATGTTCACTACCATTACAGATGGCTCTTAGCTCCCTGTACTCTGCAGAGAAGGTCTTGTTGGCATTCCCTCTGCCTAGCAACCTTGAAGACATAAGAACATGTGTAGAAATTCCAGATCATTAAGGGTAACTTTCAGTAGTTAGAGGTGTTGGGGGATGGGAGGATATGTTCTGTTTCTTGGCATCTGGTATTATCGTGGCGACCATCACTACCGCTGAGAGTTTGTCAGGGGAGAACTGTGAGTTAAATGGCAAGGTCTCCTCATTGTGGCTAAGTCCCAGCTATGTAGGTGTTGAGAGATCAACCGCACAGTGGAGACCCAGTTGTCTTGCTTATTGCCAAATCTACCGTCTCTAGACAGTGCTTGGCAAACAGATGCTCAAAAATTGGTTAGATAAATGAATGAACTTATTACTACTTCATTCTATCTCATAAATTGTGGACAATTCATTATAGACCCGTGAGTACTGAGTAGAACAAAGGAAATAATACAAATATCTTTTAACAGTATAAATCCTACTTAGAGCATATATATTGACATAAACTAAGATTCCTTGAGAACCTATGGTTTTTTTTTTAAAGTCCCAATCTACTCTCCACTGTGTGTGTGAGATGACAGATAGATGGATGGATGGATGGATAGATAGATAGATAGATAGATAGATAGATAGATAGAGGGAGAGAATGGCTATGTATGGTCCTGTGCATGCCAAGCACCTGCATGGCAGTCACAGGACCATCTTAGGTGCTGGCCATGGCCTTCCATGTTGCTGTGGCAGAGTCTCCTGTTGTTCTCTGCTCTGAATGCCAGGCTAGCTGGCCCATGAGCTTCCAGGGATATCCCTATCTCTGTCTCCACATTACTGCAGAAGTGTTAGGTTCCCATCTTCCTCCATCTTACCGTAGAAGTGCTAGGACATGAATGTGACACCCTCTCTGGCTTTAGAGGGGTTCTGTTCTTTATGTGGTTTGAACTCTGATCTTCACCCTGACGCAGCACATACCTCACCCGTGATTTTAAATACACTCCCCGGATATGGGGCAGAGCAGCAAATATTTCTATCAAGAATCAAACGTGACCCTAATACTTGATCAGTGCACTTTGTTTTATTTCACAATTGCTGTGCTTATGTTGTCATTTTGACAATTTTATTCATTATCACGCTTATTTAATGTTTGTGGCGATAATCCTACATTTTGACAACGACCATCTAGCCTCTAAGTTAGACACAGGATTGGTATTGTTTCTTCATGTGGGCAAGCTCCAGCTATTTTCTGAAATTTTACTCCTCACCCTCTTCAAGATCTCCCAGGTGACTGTGGCACTGCTGGCATATCTCAGTGCCCTTCCCTAAGCATGGCCCTCAGTCACACCATGGCCATGCATAAGGAAAGAAAGGGAATCCGGCAATCTGTTCCCATTTAACACAGCCTGGAAACATGGGCTAAATTACATATCCTGGTGGTCTTCAGGCAAGGGCCAAGGAGAGAAGCTCTTAGATTTGAGGTTTGTTTTGCAAGGAGCAGAAAGAGAGTTAGCTGACAACAGGGTAAACAGTGAGTGCTGACGAGAGGCATGGGTGATTTCCAAGGGGGACTTTTAATCACTATGCACAGGCTGTCAACATTAAGAAGTGAGGTAATCCTGGCTGGGGTATGTGGAAGTCTTTCCAAACATAGCTACGCTGAATAAACCTTGAAACAAGGGAGCTAATACGCTACTTATTGGAGAGCATAAAGGGAGTGCATGATTAAGGGCCTTATGTTAAAGTCTGGTTTAGGTAGGGACACTAAGTCACAGTTATGGCATCTGGCTACTTTCCCTAATGCTTTCTGAAGCTCTTTTTGAAGCCTGTACACACTGTCTGTGATCAAGCCGATGCCATCCATTTTAAAGCCTTCTTACCTGTTTCTGCTCTTCTCCGAGGCCATCCCACATCGAAGCCACAATCTTAGAGACTTCACCAAAAGTAGCATTCGGATTTTGGCCCTTGATGGCAGCCTGAGTATCTCGAAAGAACAAAGCGTAGGCAGACACGGGCTTCTGGGGCTCATTAGGGTCCTTCTTCTTCTTTTTTTTGGGAGTTTTTGGTTTTTTCCCCATATCAGAGGCAGGCCGCTTCTCTCCACCATTGATCTGAAATAAAAATCAAGACAGTTATGGAGGAACTAGAAAGTCAGTGGCCGAATCATATTGCTATTCTTCTTTGACATAGACACAAAATACCACCCTAGACAATCCCCACATAGAGGTGTTTTTTTCACCTGTGTATGCCATGCCTAGCTGGTGCATCCATGGGTGAGCCTAACTCTGCCTTCCATCTTCCCATAGAATTGCTGGGGTTAGAAAAGTGTGATAACATGTCTGCCTTTACATGAGTTCTGGGGATTTGAACTCAGGTCTTCACACTTGTCAGCAAGCACTTTACTATGTTAAATGCTACTTCTTATCTCCCTTCATCCTCTCTCTGTCACTGTACTTGTGACAGCAGCAACCTTCTTGGGATCTTACTGGGCTTGCTTTCTTCTGTGGACTTCTAACTTAGCTTCCTAATTATGACTTTAAACATTGGGTCAGCAAGTCTGAGAAAGTCTAATAGTGTGTTTTAACTTAGGTCAGTGGATGTGGTTGGGGATGGGAATCTAGCGATGCTTATGGTTTTGAGAGTGGACAGACCCTAGAATCCGGATCACTACTATCCAGCAGTACTTTCTGCATTGATGGCAAATTCTATAATCTACACTGTCCTATTTGCCTTTCACGAGCCACGTGGTGGTAATGAATGCTTAAGTGAATGAGAGGAATTGTATCCCTTTTCAAATTATACTAGCAACAAGTATCCAATGGCTAACATATTAGATACCCCCACCAAAATCTAGATTCCAGAAATTTCTATATCAACCTAGATTAGCATTTTACTCCATTTAAAAATAGAATCAATTTTTCTTCACTGCTCTGAGATCATCTAAATTGTTATTCTGACACAATCAGAAAATCTACACTGAGTGCGCTTAAGGTACCTGCAAGTGAATAGCATATTTGTTGCTAAGTAACCATGATGTCATTCAATCTATCTCTGTAAAATGAGGATTTGGGTAAGGATTTCTTTCCAGCTCTAAGGTTGTGAGACTTGATAGGAATATATAATGTTGCTACCTGGGAAGACTCCTGTTCACAAGGGCCTGTCCCACTGACCTAAATCCTGTTTCCACGATCTCCCAGCAGATCTCCTTACCGGCTATGGTTGTTCTGTGCTTTTCCTACCATTGGCTAATGTATGTCTTATCCACGTAAGATGCTGGTGATGCACGTGTGTAAGACTACCCCCACTGTGCAGAGGACACATACTCAGTCAAGAGTCCTATGGAAATATCACAAGACCTGTGCTCATTCCTTCCTTTAGTTAACTATCAGCTGTGTTGTCTTTCTTAAAGCAATTTTCCTGAGCTCCCGTCTTTCTACCATAAGCTAGTTCCAGATCTATTTTTATGATGACTGTAATGTACATATTTATGTATTTTAAAAATTTGACAGCTTATTCAACTACAGTTGATGGAACTTTAAAAATGAACTCATCAAAGAAATGCAAAAACATCATTTTTGTTTTTGATAATGTAAAGCCAGTTTAAAAGATTTGCTCAAGTACTAATAAGAAACAGGAAAGACTTAGTGAATCCTTTGCTTTGTTTTCATTTGAGAAAGATAGAGATCTGAGAATGACAGTTAAGATGACAATTAGCTATTGCTAATTGATAGTGGCTGGAAGGGGGATAGTTGATTTTCTACAGTGATTTGGCTATCCATGCTCCATTAATGGTCCTACATCCTTGTACATACATGTAGCACTTTGGACTTAAGAAGAAAACATAAAATTGAGAGGTGTGGTGGTTTGAAGAAAATGACCCCATTGGGTTCATATATTTGAATCTTTAGTCACCAGAGAATATAACTGAAAGAAGTATAAGGTTAGGAGGTGTGGCCTTGTTGGAGGAAGCATGTCACTGGGAGCAAACTTTGAGGTTTGCAAAGCCCATTCTAAGCCAAGAGTGTCTCCCTGCTGCCTGTAGATCTGAATGTAGAACTCTCACCAAATCTCCAAGAATATCTCTGCGTGCCTGCTTGCATGCTTTCTGCTGTGATGATAATGACTAACCTCTGCAACTGTAAACAAGCTCCCAACTGAGTGTTTTCTGTTACAAGAGTCGCCTTGGCCATGGTATCTTTTCACAGCAATAGAACAGTGTCTAAGACAGGAAGTAAAGTGAGGGAGGCCAGAGGAGAAGAAGTAGAGAGGAGAGAATGGGGGACTTAATTGCGACACATTGCACGCATGTGTGAAATTCTCGAACAATTAAAGTGTTCTGCTAGAAAAAAGGAGTTGGCTGCTCTGAAATTGCCAGCTCCGGGAGATCAAAAAGCCCCATAATGACACGATGTTCCGAAACAAGTCAAGGTAACTTAGATTAACACTAGTCTATAATCGAGGTGTGATTCCATGAAACTGCCGAGTCCGCTACAGTTCTGAGAGAAGAGATGGTCATCAAATATCGTGGCCCATGGACCAACTTTGAACAAGTGTCCTGACAGACCTCGGCATGGGATGCGGCTCTCAGCCAACATCTCAACTCCATTGATGATACATAAGCAGACGGAAGGAGAAATAAGCGAGCCTTTTCTGTCCACCAAGGTGACACACGCTTGGATCTACTCCTCTTTAGAACCACCTCCTCAAAGCCCTTTTCTGCCCTGGCTGTACACTCTCCTTCACCAACACTTCTAGGTGCTTCCGATTCTTGCAGCTTTTTATAAAGTCACCAACGTCTTTACTGGATAACCCAAGTTCCTTGGGAAGGTGTGTCTCTCCTAGTGCTAGGACACCAGCCCTGTCTGGGCTCTTCTCTTACTTGGCTGGCCTTGCTGGGTTTCAGGATCACTTCTTTGGCTCATCTTCCCATGCATGGCCATTTTGGGGTGGCCGGGCAGAGTTCTGTGCTGCAAACTCTCTTCCCTTAGGAATCTTAAAAGCCCATAGGTTTCTCTTACCATTTGTGGTTGGATGGTTGTTAAGTCTGGGCTTCCCTGATTTGACATGCATGTAAGCAACTATTATTTGCTGTCACTATCTGAAAATCTTAATAATATTTCAAACTCAGGTCAGGCTCTTGTAATGCGCTTTTTGAGTTACCTAGATTTCCATCCACAGCATGTAACAAACTTCGAACTATACAATGATGGGCACATGGTGTTTGTGCTTTATTTCCCCAGCCCAAGTGGGAGTCAGGTATACTTTTGCTTACACTAGCATGTAGGTAGTTTCTGAAATACACAATAAGTACTTAGCAGTTGCTATAGCACTAGTAAATAAAGTAATATAAAATAATACTTTGACAGGAAGGATGAATGAATGTAAGTACAAATGGTTCCTGTTACAGGAAATTACCCAAAGATTTGCTTGAGCACTTAGGATAATAAGCAAATATGCAGGAAAAGAAAAAAAAAACTTGAACAGATTTTATTTAAAAAGCATTTGAAACCTTATTAGCAATTTCTTTGCACTATAGAATGTATCTTTGTGATTTTATTCTTTACAGTTTTTATAATGTCTAACTTTATAAATACCCATTGACATTCATAACAATACAATCTTTTAAAAAGGAATAACAAAAAGAGTCAAAAAGATTGACAATGTAGAATGTTAAAGCTGGGCGTGTGAACCACCTTTCCTGGATAAGTGGAGTTACCACCCCTCATGAAAAGAATCTCTCTTTTCAGCAAATGGAGACCAGCACAGAAAACCATAGCTTTGTACAATACAGAGATCAACAGATCATGGGGAACCCAGCCCCAAAAGATGCATCTACATAACAGCTCCTACATCTATTGCTCAGGGCACATGGAGGAAGAGGGGGGAAAGAGCTTGTAAGAATCATAATACTGAAATCCCTCACCCGCCTTTACTACTATAAAAACCCAATGCCAACTGAGCTTGGGGCTCTCTGATCCCTCCAATACATTGGGCAAATGGAGAGTTCGAATTTGCAAACCTATGTAAGAATAAAGACTCTTTGCTTTTATATACAGAATTCAGTCTCCTACTTAGTTTGGGGGCACTCTGTGATCTGGGCATAACATTTGGGGGCTCTCTGAGATCTGCATGTGCACCAGAATCACCACCCTGTAGAGCCTTCAGCCGGCCACTTATATATTAGATAGAGACTCCGAGATCCTAGCTGTGACCCAAGGTCTCCAAAGAAGATTATGGGACAACATGATGTTTCTGGATTATGACGATGCTGACCACTGGTCAAGCTGCTCCAGTGCAACACCTGCAGCCAGGACCCGGCCTAGACTGTGGACAAACAGCAGAACCCTGGCAAATTGATTGTACCACTTTTGCCTAGACAAAATAAGGTCAGTCTTTTTCATGTTTCTCTTCCACAGGGGAAAAAAAAAATCACCTCACGGGCCTAGCTAAGACTGTAAGACTGCTGTCCTGATACTTCTGCCTCCAATGCTGTGGAGACCTGGGTATGGCTAACTGTGTATGGACTCTGGTCCCTGTCATTCTTAATAGATTCAGAAGTATGCTCAGGTATACTTTATTTATCCTTCTGGGATCTCTGATAGTATTGACGTCTAGGCTAGCTATAACTTTGTTAGCTTAGCAGCAGCAGGTATCCAGATCCTTCCACAAGGTTATGGCCAGCTTGTTAACTCATTTCATATATATAAAATCAAACTTTGCTTTTTCTAATGCTACTAAGTCTCTTCATAAAAGACATTGTTTTAAGATATGTAAAGATCTGAGGCTATAAAAGATCATAAGCTTTGAGGGTCTCAGAAATGATGTAAAATATAAATACAGGTTACAATAGAATAAGATATGGAAAATATTTCTGATTTATTTCGCCTTCAATGGTATAGTTCTGATAAGATGGTAGAGCAATGACTACTTACTGTTTGGGTCATTTATTTTGGTTGTCATCTAGGTATAGACTTGAAGATGTTTCTAATCAGGCCAAAAACATCTCTGTCCTATCCATACCTGACTCTCTGGACAGTAGAAAAAGCTATATGCTTCTAACCAAAATCTGTAGTTTTGGCTAGGACTCAAAAGTATGAGTCTATTGCTGCTG